AAGAGCATCTGAAAGAGATATGTATAGAGTTAAATTAGACGTGTGTTTAACCTCTTACTGGAAATAAAACCATATCAACGTTGGGAGTTCACGTCTCTGCTGAGCCATAAATCAAACCCAGTGATTGATTGATTGAGTCTGTAGGTGAACCTCAGAGGACTGGACATGATTCGCACCGTCATCACTTGAGAGGTCAAGTAAGGATCAAGCCTGCTTATTAGGAAATCCTCTAGTATTTCTCTTGCCTTTTCTGAGATCGGAAGAAATCTTCCTCGATACCAGGAACTGTTTTTCTCAATTGGCCCTGTGTTGCAGACGTTGGAGAATTCCTCCACCACTGCTATGGTTTATCTTTGCTTCTACTCCCTTTATGGGCAGTTATGCATTAGGCTGCTGACCACCAGCCACTCCTCGGAGGAAGATGAGGCTGACCCCATAAAGATTTACAGCCCCAGAAACCCTACGTAGGGCCGCTATGCACTGGAACCAGCTCCATGGTACACAGCAACAGCCCGTTTATCAAGCAGGGCTAGATTGTGTGTCTAGAATGAAGGAGACTTACTTGTGTGGTGGCTGTGGCAGACTGACTGGAGTGCTTCTGTCACTGCGTGTACGCGACTTCCCATACGACGTGTCTGGCGTGTTCTTTCAACAGAACATCCGAACAGGATTGAGCACTATGATCATGCCAGTAGTTGGATCTCCTAACCCAGATAAGCATGGATTTAGCTCAGTTTTTCCAGGAATATTAAAAATCTCTCCTTTTAGAAGTCTATTATGATCATGATTTTTCACAAATTTCAAGAGGACATTGTCATTTTATTTTAAGGTTCCCAACTTTATTTTAAGGTCCTGGTGTGGTGCTGTGGGTTAATGTTGTTGTTGTTGTTAAGTGCCGTCGAGTCAGTTCTGACCCATAGTGACCCTGGATAGGGTTTCCGAGAAGCAGCTGGTGAGCTTGAACTGCCGGCCTTGCAGTTCAAATGACTTTACAGTCTGGCGCATTAACCCACAGCGCCACACCAGGACTCCGGGGTTAATGTACTGCACTGCAAAGTTGATTTGAACCGCAAGGTCGGCCGTCCAAGTTCACCAGCCTCTCCTTGGAAACCCTATACAGGGTCACTATGGGTCAGAACCGACTCGATAGCACTTAAAACAACAACGACACTACTTACTTACAGCATTACAGTGTGAAGCACATGGTCGGCAGCTCAAACGCCACCAGCTGCTCCTTGGAAACCCTACACAGGGTCACTATGAGTCAGAACCGACTCTATGGCACTTAACAACAACCGATTATTTGTGCAGTGAATAAGGAAGATAAGAGAAGAATCAATGCAATCGAGTTACAGTGTTGAAGAAGAATATTAAAAGTACCCTGGACGGCCAGAAGAACCAAACCAATCTGTGTTGAAAGAAGCATAGCCAGAGTGCTCCATGGAGGCCAGGCTGGCCAGACTTTGTCTCCCGGTTTTGGGACATGTTGTCAGGAGTGACCAGTCCCAGGAAAAGGACATCATGCTTGGTAAAGTGAAGGGTCAGTGAAAAAGAGCATGACCCCCAAGAAGATGGGTTGGCACGGGGGCAGCAGCAGTGGATTCAAACGTTAACAATTGTGAGGCTGACCCGGGCCCGGGCACTTTCATTCTGTTGTGCATCGAGTCAGTCGCAGTGAGTCGGAACCGACTCCATGGCGCCCAACGGCAACGACAACCCTATAGGGTGGCACTCGGCAACGACAACCCTATAATTTCCTTTATTTCTATTTTCCGAGATTAAAGTGAATTCTTTTAAGACCTTTCACCCTTTCCTAAATCTGATGAAATCTATGTCCTTTCTTGTCATGAAAGTCGCGTGTGTATTCATGCATACTATCACATCTGACTTCCATTGTACAAATGAGATCATTGTACTAGACTTTCGAGTAGACTACTTCTTACATGATCGCTGTTTCACAGATTGACAAGATGACTTCCCTTGTGACTCTAAGGATGCGCCAATGCACTCCCAAAACATGGGGTTAAACAATGTTGTTATTGTGTGCCACCGAGTCGCTTTTGACTCATAGCGACCCCCTATACAGCTTCCAAGAAGCAGCTGGTTGGTTTGAACTTCCGACCTTGCGGTTAGCAGTCAGTCCAGTGCTTAACCCACAGCGCCACAACAGGACTCCAGTGGAAAAAGACAGAAGGAAATGAAAGACAGACAATTGAGGCGACAGGTTTCTGGGTTTGTTTTATTTTGTTGGAAGGACTTTACCCCCCACCTCCCTCCGAGGCTGTCATGTTCGGTGCTTGACTAGGATAATCAACAAGTGAGCCTTCCAGAGTAAACGTATGAAGCGCATCTGAAGAAAATGAAGGCGTCTCTTCCACACAGCGTCGGTCCTCCAGGCACACTGGCTAGGGGAGCACCCCGAGCTCCACCCAGGGCGGCCTTGGGGTCAGATGACAGAGGGAGAGGGAGGGCAGCAGCAGGGGGTACGGTGCTACCCTCAGTAGTGCTGTTGTGACTCACAGCCCAGCACCTCAATCCTCAGAGCGATGTGGTGCAGCCAGCTCTGGGGATAAATTCTAAGGTAGCGGGTCAGTAGCGGGGGATCTAAATAATTCACCACAGGTGTGACGGAGTCTTCATTTCCCTGAAAAACCTGAAAGAGAGGAAAATCGCATTGCTTCATTTTCTTCCTCAATTGGCCACTCCCCCAACATGCATCCATCATGTGACATTTAGGATTCAGAGCACCTGCTCACCCACTCCAGCTATGCTGTAGATCTGCAACGTAGATCAGCTACTTCCCCAGATCTCCTCCACACACTCTCGGAACTATCACAAGCAGGCTTCAGGCTTCAGTAAATGATAACACTACTGTAGTGTGGCCCTGGGTACGCAGATGGGAGTGGGCAGAGAGCCCAGGACTCGAGCAGTTTGCCACGCTAGGGGCTTTGGGAGCTTACCTAGGAACTAGGTGAGCCTTGGGGAGAATGAAAGTGCAAATACTCAAAGAGTGTAATTCAGGGCAACTGTGAAATCCTGCCGGTTTTGTGGAAATTCCTACACTTGAATGTCCGACCAAATGGTACGAATTAGTAAAAGTCTTGGAAAGGCAGAAGTGTGTGTGCTTGAGTCCTGTGCTCTGTCCCCGCTCCCCAGGCCACACTACAGTGCACAGGTTCCCTCAGCTTGGAATGCCCTCGTCCCTCATGCGGTCTCTCCTGCTGAGAGCTCGCTCCCACCTTAACAACTTCTGTAACTCAACACACGTGCGCGCGCACACACACACATTTCCCCTGATTGTTTCCTGGATGTTTCATTCAGGTTGGGGTGTTGCATCAGACTTTTTCTCTGCCTTGTCGTTATTTATTCTTTTTTGTTAAGGCGGGAGAGTAGAATTTTCACTGGGTGAAGGGGTTAGAGTCCCAGTTTCTGTCTTCACCTGATACTAACTTTGTGTTTATGCTATCTGTGCATTAGTCAACTTTTGCTGTAGTTTAGAACCCCTCAAAATCCCAGGGACTTCCCCCTCAAGTTATAAGAGTTGTAGGGGAGCGGGAGGCCTTTGCCAGGTGGAGGCTCTGGGCTGTGTGTCTTCTCATTCTGGGACAGTCAGAGGGCAGAGGTACAAGAGACTGATTCAAACCACACAATGGCATTTGAAATTTCTGTCATGTTTGTTCACGTTCCAGTGGTCAAAGCAACTGAAATGACCAAGCTCAAAGTCAAAAGGGGCTTATAAGGAAAGACGGAGTAAACAATCGAGAATCAAATGCCATCGACCTCTTTGGCCATTTTCTGTTCATTTAGAAATTTCCTCTTTTTTCTCATGCTAAATGATTACTTAAGGATAACATTTGCCATTTCAACATTCTTCACGTACAATTTCATTACATGAAGTCCTGACACGGTGCCCTGGGTTCATGCTCTGGACTGCAACAAGGTCTGTGTTTCAAGCTCAACAACTGTTCCTTGGAAACCTTATACAGGGTTGCTATGGGTCGGAACTGACTCAACAGCACGTAGCAACAACAATTATATACACCACGCTGTACAGAAACATCATTATCTACCTCCCACATTTCCCATCCACCATAACGAGAGCAATGAGAGCCTAACCCTAACCCTCCCTGCCTCCATAATCACTAAAAACTTAGGTCTGCATACACTTGCCTAGTCTAGCTATTTCATACAAGTGGACTCACATAATATTTGTCCTTTAATGATTGTTTTCAACATTCATCAATCATGGATTGTATTAGAACTTTTCTCTTTCTGTTGCTATTGTTAAATGCTGTTGAATGGGAGCAGATGGTGAGTTTGAACCACCAACCTTGCAACTTTAAACGACCTTGCAGGCATATGTATGACTATCACACATTTTATTTATCCGTTCATCTGTTGGTAGACATTTAGGTTACTTCCAGTTTTTCACTGTCATGAACGATGATGCACCTATTTTTGTGGGCGCATTGTGTGGGCATGTGTTTTCATTTCTCTTGAGTATGGATTCCGAGTGAAACTGTTAGATTGCCTTGGAAACGTTCTTAGATTTTCTTGGTCTAATCACAAACATTGTAGGCAGGTATGGAAGTGGTTCTGGCGCTTGCTAAGTTTCTTACCCAGGAGCACCCTCTACTGTTGATAAGGTGAAATGCATTTCCTTTCAAAGATGAGCAGGAAGAGAGGTTTTTGTGTGTTTCTTGTGATTTTGTGATTCTCTTTGGTTTCAACCACAAGTTCTGTAGTTCAAACCAAGCAGCTGCTCCTCGGAAACACTAAACAGCAGGGGATGGGGAACTTCTGGCCTGCAGGCCGTATGTTGTTGTTGTTGTGTGCCGTGAAGTCCGTTCCGACTCATAGCGACCCTGTACAGGGTTTCCGAGGCTGTAAATCTTTACAGGAGCAAAAAGCCTCATCTTTCTCCCGCGGAACAGCTGGTAGTTTCGAACTACTGACTCATAGGGACCCTGTACAGGATTTCCGAGGAGCGGCTGGTGGGTTTGAACTGCCAACCTTGTGAGTAGCAGTCCACTACAGTGTCACACCAGGACTCCCAGCCATCGCATTGTTGTTGTTAAGTGCCTTTGAATCGGTTCCGCCCCACAATGACCCCATATAGGGTTTTCTAGGAGCTATTGGTGAGCTTGAACCACCGACCTTACGGTTTAAACCAAATTTACAGTCCAGCACATTAACCCATAGCACATTGCATTAGGGGTGAGTTAATTAAAAGTTTCATCAGATACAGCAGGCTAATTTTTAAGTTGAGAATGTTGTACCGGCTATGAACAATGTCATAAATTTTGGCAGAAAAAAGGTTCCCCACTCCTGCCTAATCTGCTACTTAAATCAGTCTTTGATTTTTAGACTTCAACAGTTATCTTTTTCATTCCTAAAACTTATATATATATTTTTTAATGTCTAATTTTGGGTAATCTACTAGTCACTCCTCTTGAGAAAGATGAGGCTTTCTGCTCCCAAAGACACTGACAACCTCCGAAACCCTGAACACCATGGCACCCATTACAGATCTGATCATGTCAATGTTTGATGTACTTCAGGTCCACAATCTGCATTGCCTCGTTCTTCTCATTTGTCCCTGAGATGGTTTATGATCTTGCATGTTTGCTGATCTATGCTGATGGTCTTCTATTTGTTTGGCACTAACACGTGGAAACCCTGGTGAGCGGATTTGAGAATGCCTTCCGATGCCAGAGTACCCTACTAATCTGCGGCCCCTGAGCTCCCTTCTGGCATTTCTGACTTAATGCAGAAGTCTTGGATTCAGTCAGCTTGGCATTCTTTCTAGGTTTAGTCTCCCAATAACAATACTACCGTAGGTATTTCCCTGCCTACTGTGATTTCAGCTCATCAGCTTCCATGTTTGGTTTTTACTGTTGGTGGCAGACAGGTGGGAGATTTCCCTGTTTTCATTCGAATGCAGAATTAAGAAGCATGTCCTGTAAGAGATAACCTTTTTAAACGAAATTTCCCTTCAGAATATTGAATGTCTAAAATCTGGTCTACCTAACTTCCAGAAGCAGAAGTTTTTAAATTCAGTCTTGAGGGAAAATACCGTCTATCTGAGTCTGGAAGAATGAGTCTGGTGAAAGGGGCAGACTGATGTGAGAAGAGATGTGCTGTGTGAGGATTGGGAGCTGAGACAGCAGAGAGCAAACAGCAAGATGCTGATCTAGAGAGGTTGGATGAAGTCACGCCATGATGAATGCATGAGGACAAAGAAGAGACCAAACAAGAGTTATTCCTTCTGTATAGTTGTGGTTGTTGTTGTTAAGTACCGTGGAGTCGGTTCCGACTCACAGCGACCCTGTACAGGCTTTCCGAGGCTGTAAATCTTTACAGGAGCAGAAAGCCTCATCTTTCTCCCGCGGAACAGCTGGTAGTTTCGAACTGCTGACCGTGAGATTAGCAGCCCGATTCGTAACCACTACGCTACCAGAGCTGATGGGAAATTTGGGCTCAACTTAGGGCAATGGTTGTACAACATGATTCATGTGATTGACACCAATAGGTTGTACACCTGAAAAAGCTGACTTGGCAAACGTGTCCAACCAAACACCTCATGGGATTTGCTTTCTTGGTTTGGATGTATAGGGTCACGGTTTCTTGGGATGTTGATTTCAGTGGTTCTGCTCTACCTCCTAGTTCATTGGGGAGTGACCATCCAAGGTCCAACAGGAAGAAAAAGACTCTGGAATCAGAGGAGAGACTGGGATGTGTGTCTAATAGTCTTTATGAACAAGTGCCTACTTGTCATTAAGACCCGAACAAGTGAATGCTGCCGGGCTACCATTACTAACCATTTTGAGCAAAGATTCTACAGAAGAATCCCGATCAAAAGGGGGGAAATTTTGGAAGACAATTTCCAACTTTAATAGACTCCAGATGCTCTGGAGTCATGCCGGCTGGATGAACCCCTGAAACTATCTATTGCCCTAAAATAATCTTCAAACTTTCAATTAAAAATATTCCCTGAAATCTTCTAAAAGACAGACAATACTTTAGTTTAGCTAGCAAAACATGTCTGTCTCAAGCAGGTTACTTTGTTAAAGAATTCTGTGTATGGGCTCCAAGTGGCAACACCAACTGGAAAGTTTAGCTGAGCCCACTTAGGGAGAAGCTTATGCTATGCTGATGGAATCATTTGGAAGCAGACAGTGACAACGGTGGCACACCTTGAAGAATGTAGTCAATGTCACGGGATTGTACATGTAGAAAGTGTGGAATTGGTGTATGTTTCACTGTGTATATTTTCATCAAAATAATAATATTTTAAAAGCTATTATCAGTGTTCCTGATATTATCAGCTATTATCGCTGGAGAGGGATGTCATGCTGGGTAGGGTGGAGGGTCAGAGAAAAAGAGGAAGACCCCCAACGAGATGGATCAGCCAGGTGGCATCATTGATGGACTCAAGTGTGGCAGCGGTAGTGAGGTTGGCCCAGGATCGAACATTGTTTCGTTCTGCTGTGCATGGGGTCGCTATGAGTCGGTTCCGACTCGATGGCACCTGACAACAACAACAACAACATTATCAGTGTTCCTTTGTTGTTAAGTACGTCGAGTTGGTTACGACTCATAGAGACTCTGTAAAGGGTTTCCAAGGAGCAGCTGGTGGGTTTGAACTGCCAACCTTGTGGTTCTCGTGTACAATGCTGATTGCTAATCTGACAACACCACACCTGCTAAGAATAACAACATCAAAAGAGATGAGCTATTATTCCTAGGAATCTCCCGGTTTTATGTCATGGTTTCTAATAAGCACAATTTGTTGGCCTTCCCAGCTGCTATAGCTAACTACTGCAACTGAAAATATGGCCCTGTTTAGAAATAAGGAAGTTCTTTTGTTTTGTTAATGAGCTCATACCTCATTGGAAGTAGGGTGGGTCCTAAAACTAATCCCTTCTGAGTGATGTCTTAGGAAAAGAACCGAGGAAACACAGACACACACAGATGGGGTAGATTTAACCATCTGAAGAAGGAAGCAGGTGAAACCATTAGCCTAACCCTAACCCTAACCTTCCCCTAGAGCTGGTGCCCTGATTTTGGTAACTCGGAGGACATACATTTCCGTTCCTTAAAGCCACCTGCCATGCCAGCAAGCCCCGATCTAGACTGAAGGCTGTGTGCGTCACAAGACTTAAACGTCAGTGCTGCTTGGAAATCTACACTGCTGATCAGGATACAGGCATCACCGAGCATCTGGCAATAACTCTCACTCTTCACCCCTCTGATTCTTACCAGCATCCATGCTATCAATGGAATGGCCCTGCTCTATCCACCCTTTTCCTGGAGTGATGCCTTCTTGCTTAGAGTCTCTGAGTCCTCCCAGAAGGCCTCTCACAGTTTTGTGTTAGCACACGCACTCAGCAAACGCTACCCTGAAAGTTTGGTCCAATATCACTTCTGTTATGTTGCTAGATATGAACCTGTAGGAAAACGTTGACGCTTCTCCTGTGGGATCAGCATACCTTGACTTTGTCATTCTGACGAAAGACGGTCCAGTGATGCCCATCTTGACTGCTAGAGATTAGGAACTCCTTTACATACATGCTGGTAAGCAGAGATTTGGCCCCCTGGGTGGTTATTCCTGTGACTTTCAAGGTATGCTGGAAGTCCACTTGAAGCCACTCTTTTGCATTATTCACCTGAAAAAATGAATGTTGGATTTGCATCCTATTGGTCACCATTTGCTGACCCCAAATCCCTTCCGAGCCTGCGTTTTAGTGGCCTGTTTATTTGTCAGTCTCCACTAGTAAATTGGAAGCAACTTGAGGATAGGAGTTTGGCCTTAATCATCTCTGTATTTCCAGGGTCGGCCACTTGATGTTATTGTTGTTGTGTGCCGTGAAGTCGGTTCCGACTCCTAGTGACCCAGTTCAGGGTTTCCAAGGCTATAGATTTTTACGGGAGCAGAAAGCCTCATCTTTCTCCCGCGGAGCAGCTGGTACTTTCGAACTGCTGTCCTTGCGATTTGCAGCCCAATTCGTAAACACTCCGCTACCAGAGCTCCTTGGGCCACTTGATAGGCACCCACTAAACATCTGCTGAATAAATATATAAGCCACACACCAATAGGCTTTAAAAAGTTCATGGAAAAGTAGAATGAAAAGGTAATGGAATGTCTCCATGAGCTTTGCGAAGCCCCCTCACAGTAATTCATAATCTATCCAGCAAAACTGTATTCCCTGGAGAAGCAGAGCCGTTGGCTCTGTGCGTCTCAAAATGTCGCTGAGTGACTGAGTAGTTCTGGTAAAGATCTGTGCCCGATGCACCGCTCATCATGGTGACCCTTTTCTATGTGGGACTGAGAAACCAGGAAAGAAAGCGGACTGTAGATTTCTCTCCACAGAACTGGCCTGAAGCAACTGCAATGTTTTGACAGGTCTTAGCTCAGTACTGGGTATACAGAGTCTCCTTCCAAGAGGTTTGATTCGGGCTCCTTTCCCCCAGCAGGCATTTAATAAACGCATGTAGGACTTTCTGCCCTCTGGGAACAAGTTGACAGAAATGTCTTTGAAAATCCAGTCAAGGGCTTTCCCTACACTCTTCAACAACTGCTCCCTGCTCTGGGTCAGTGAGATAGCAATCTTACCTGTGGTCTCCAGGCATTGGTCCTCCCCTGCAGGTGAAGTCGGGCTTGTGACGGAGACCAGGTGGAAAACATATTGGTGAAGTAGGAGGAGGCGGAAATCTGTGTATCTGCTATTGCTTTACTCTGTATCCCCAGCGGCATGCTACAACCTCAAAGAACGGAGGAGAGAGCCATCACAAAGACAGAACGCAGCCTCGCTGGCCTCGAGGGCTCCTGTCCCCATCATAGTGACTTCATCGTGGGCATTGTCACTTCTCTTATCTTTGACTTTGATCTGCTTATCAATAGTAGTGTGGGAAGGGGCTGTCCCTGGGCATCTCATGGTTAGGGTGACCCAGAAAGTTCCTGGTTCGAGCACTGATATTTCCTCTTCCTGGGAAACTCCTCAGTCCGGGGCCAACTGAGACAGTTGGGGACCTCACCAACGGCGGGGATATGGGATGGCTTGGCACTTACTGTTTAAATCACAGCCTACCAACTCCATGCGAAGGGTGCTGCGGACGCTATGATGTGTTGGGTGCAAACGGATGTACTGAGCAATGATGGGAGGGTTGAAAATATTGTGCTTTATCCCGGAAGAATCCACATTACCAAAGAAGACCTGTAGGGAGAGGTTAGGTCAAATACACGAAAAGTAACAACATACTTTGTACATTTCTCAACAACATCTAACACCCAAACCAAACCATTCTGGCTAGAATGATATCGTTGTTGTTAAGTGCCGTCAAGTTGGTTCAGACTCATAGCGACCCTGCGTAGGGTTTCCGAGGAGCGACTGATAAACCTGAACTGCTGACCTTATGGTCTAAGTATGATATGGTTGTTAAGCGTCATGGAGCTGGTTCCAACTCAGAGTGACACTGTATAGGGTTTCCGAGGAGCAGCTGGTGGGTTTGAACTGCCAACCTTGTGGTTCACAGTCCAGTGCTGATGCTACAGCGCCACCCCACCAAAACGAGTAGAACAATGTGGATTCGGTCTGGGGCAGGTGAACTAGTTTTCTATTTTGGGCTCCTAGAAGAGACTCACGTTGGGAAGCTGGTTGGGGGTTTGCTCCTCCTGTGTAGTCGGAAGATCAGCATCGCCATTCCAGATGCACAGCACAGAACTGCAACATGCACAAGCTCCCCGGATCTGCTAAGCTTGGGAAGCATGTGTGTGTGTGTGCACTGATACACATGTATATATGAACTCTGGGGACATGGAGTAATAATTCCTTGCATATGAATTCATGAACCACATGTTAGTAAGTAACATGTGGGTTTTAGGGCTTTGCCATGTTTGGAGAAAAGTTTATGATATATTCCAGGGAAAGGAAACACGTTTGAGAAATATGGATGTAAGGCCAATTCAGAAATCCTAGTGTGGCGTTGTAAGATAAGCACTGGACTGCAAGGCAGCACTTTACACTCACCACTCACTCCTCGGAAACCAAAGACAGTGTCACGATGAGTTGGAACCAACTCAACAGCAGGCACGTCACAACAACAGCATCATACACACAAAGCTGAAAGTCACATGACTAATGGGACACCTGTTTGAGTGTGCTAAAATAGGCATTATTCTAAGTCTCTTCTATGATCCCACATCACAGTCTTGGCATTATGGGAACTAACCAAAAAAAGGGTCTTGCCATGTAACAAGTCTTTCTTCCAATGGAAAGTTGTGGTGGTGATGGTTAAGTGTCGAGTAGGTTCCAACTCATAGCAACCCTAACCCTAACCACCCTAATTCTAACCCCTAACCCTAACCACCCTAACCCTAACCCCTAACCCTAACCCTAACCACCCTAACCCTAACCCTCTATAGGGTTTCTCAGGAGCAGTTGGTGGGTCTGCAGTGTCAGCCTAGCGGTTGTCCTACAGTGACACACCAAGACCTCCTCCTGGAATAGAAAATAGTAATTTTATAGCGTCGTTCTGAAACAAGCGATACCAAAATTCACAGCATTCTTTGGTAAACCTATGTTCATTTTGGATTAAGATAGAATTACTAACATATGTGAATTACCATCATTTGTGATATTGGGAAATTTCCCCTTAGACATGACCCATGCAAGAGATGTGATTAGATAGTAATAATATAAAGATGTTGTTAGTTGTTATGGGATTGTCTTTGACTCCTAGTGACCTGATGTATAACAGAACGACACACTGCCCGGTCCTACATTGTCTTGACAGTCGTTGGTATCGTGGAGGAAGAGGCCAGGAAGCTCTTGTTGTTAAGTGCTGTCGAGTCAATCCCGACCCATAGCAACCCTGCATAGGGTTTCCAAGGAGCAGCTGGGGAGCTGGACCTGCTGTAAATGCTACCTAGAGCCTCCAGGAAGAATGCAGTTGTGCCAACACCTTGATTTGAGCCCAGTGACCTTCAGAACTATGTAGGTGGTGGCTGAGTGCTGTCAAGTCGGTTCCAACTCATAGTCAGTTTCTGAGACTCATAGGGTTTCCGAGACTATAAATCTTTATGGGAGCAGAAAGCCTCCTCTTTATCCCGCAGAGCAGCTGGTAGGCTTGAACCTCTGACCTTGTGGTTAGCAGCAGCCCAACGTGTAATCCGGTTTCTATGGAAAAACCCTTAAGACACCTGTGCATGCTGTCAGAATGATAAAGTTAAAAAAAAAAAAAAATCAGGAGGAACGCTCCATCAGTGTAAAGTATTAAAAGGTTCTAAGGAGCTCTGGTAGCAGAGTGGTTATGAATCGGGCTGCGAACCTTAAGGTTAGCAGTTCGAAACTACCAGCCGCTCCGCGGGAGAAAGATGAGGCTTTCTACTCCCGTAAAGATTTACACCCTCGGGAACCTTGTACAGGGTCGCTATGGGTCGGAACCGACTCGACGGCACTTAACAACAACAACAACAAGGCAAAGTGGCAGCATCGATGGGCTCAAGCGTGGCAACAATTGTGAGGCTGGCCCCGGACCGGGCAGTGGTTCGTTCTGCTGTGCACAGGGTCACTATGAATTGGTACCGACTCGATGGCACTTACCAACAACAAGTCAGACCTAAAGCTTCGTATTAAAGACAGGCTTCAATACACAAACATGTTGTGGCATCTGTAAGCAGAAACTCCATAACCAGAGACAGCAATATGGTCCGTAACAGACCGTTTGTTAATCCGTATCTTCGCGTGTTAAGAACGGGATGGCAACAGCGGATAGTATGTCAACCATACAGCATGTGCACACACAGAGACACAAACACACAAGAAATGAGCCATGGCAGTAACTGTGGACGTTGGCTCATGACAGGTCATCATGGCTCTGGGGAAATGAGGAGCTGCAAGCTCCGGTCCCACCTGCTCACTGGGAAGCTCGCACAGAACACATCTGGTTCCCACCACGCAACAAAGAACTACTCACAACTTTTTAACACCCCCTAGAAGGATATCATGTTTGGTAAGGAGGAGGGACAGAGAAAAAGAGGAAGACCCCCACCCAGCGAGATGGACTGGCCCAGTGGCAGCATCGATGTGGGCTCAAGCGTGGCAACAATTGTGAGGTTGGCCCAGGACCGGGCAGTGGTTCGTTCTGTTGTGCATACGGTACCGACTCGATGGCACCTAACAACAACAACAACAGCCGCAGGGCGACGGGAGTGCTGGTGTGGTGCTGTGGGCTGATGCCCCGGACTGCAACGCCGTTTGAACTGCAAGGTCAGTGGTTCAAGCTCACCAGCTGCTCCTTGGATACCTTATACTGGGTCGTTATGGGTCAGAGTGGACTCAACACTTAACAACAAAAGCAGAGCGGCAAATGTTTCTGATCTACCAGGTGGGTGGGCACTTAGTCCCTGAGGTGGACTGAAGCGTCCCTCCACTGACAGAGGCCACAGTTAGCAGCTGAATTCCCAAACCATAGTCCTGTCTCTCCAAAAAAAGAGAAATCAAGGTGTCATCCTGACTCTCTACGTCTATCAAAGGCGACTCTGCACGGGCACACTTCATCTCTAGGACACCAGACTGAACTCTACACACAACTGCTAGACACTACCATATTCGGGCAATCTTTTGGGGAGCAGAAAGCTCAGCTTTATCCCATGGAATGGCTGGTGGATTTGGACGGCTGGCCTTGTGCTTACCAGCCTGACGCCTAACTCAATATGCCCCTACGACTCCTTTTCAGAGCTATGTCATTGTTAGGTGCCAATGAGTCGTTTCCAGCTCAAAGCGAGCCTGTATAGGGTTTCAGAGGCCGGTGAGTTTGAACTGCCAACCTTGCAATTCACACTGACATTATTGTCAAGTGCTTGCTTATCCTACAGTGCCACACCAGGACACCTATGTTGTTGTTGTTAGGTAACGTCGAGTCAGTTCTTGTTTGGGGTTTCCAAGGAGTGACTGGTGAGCTTGAACCTCTGGCCTTGCTGTTCAAATCGACTTTGTAGTCTAGTGTCTTAACCCACAGCACCACACCAGGACTCCAGCATTTGTGTTGTTTTAAAGCCATTGTATTTGTGGGAACACAAAACTGGCCAAATAATGATTCTTATATTTTTTTCACTCTAAACAATAACTAACTAGAAGCCCTGTTAGTCTAAGTGATCAGGAAATCAATACAAGTCTAGGGAAGGAGAGCTGCGCTACTAAGCAGTTTCTATGAACCATCGCCCTTTCCATCAGCTGAGAGAGATCATGCAGCAAGTTCAAACCAACACTTTTGTATTCAAGCGCTTCCTGGGCCAAAAAATAAGCCTTTGGGGCACAGTGGTTAAACTGCTTGGCTGCTAATCAAAAACTGGGTGATTCCAACTCACTAGGCATCCTCGTGTGGCGCTGTGGGTTAAGGCGCTGGACTGCAAAGTCGGTTTGAAAGCGAAGGTCGGTGGTTCAAGCTCATCAGCTGCTCCTCCGAAGCCCTATGCTATGGTCGTGCTCTGTTACAGCTGCTCAGGATTTCTGTTTCTCCCTCGCGCACTTCCCTTGGCCCACAGCCCTTGTGCATATGTGTTCCCTCTACCTTGCATCTATCTGTCCTCTCGTTCTCTTTAGCCTAACTTGCTTTTCTCCATTCAAGTCACTTCTTACCGGAAGCCTTCTTAGAATTCTGGTTAAGTAACATGTGCCCACGACACCCGTTCAGCGATTGAAGATACTGATTTAGTGGTGACTATTAAAAAAAAAAAAAAGAGCTCTGGTAGCAGCGTAGTGGTTACGAATCGGGCTGTGAACCGGAAGGTCAGCAGTTCGAAACTGCCAGCTGCTCTGCAGGAGAAAGATGAGGCTTTCTGCTCCCGTAAAGATTTACAGCCTCGGAAACCCTGTTCAGGGTCGCTATGGGTCGGAACTGATTCGACGGCACTTAACAACAAGTAAAACAAAAACACCAAATAACCAAAATCCATTCGAACTCATACTAACCCTGTTACAGGGTTTCTGATGGAGCTCTGGTAGCGTAGTGGTTACGAGTCGGGCTGCTAACCTCAAGGTCAGCTGTTCCTCGGGAAAAAGATGAGGCTTTCTGCTCCCGTAAAGATTTGCAGCCTCGGAAACCCTGTACAGGGTTGCTATGGGTCGGAACCGACTCCACGGCACAGAACCATTCAAAAGGGTTAGGAAGGACTGCCCGTGCAGCTGCTGTGGAAAAGTCTGGCGAGTCCTCA